GTGTGTGTGTGTGTGTGTGTGGCGACCCACGTCTAAATAATGTGTATTGATTGGCTTCAGTCTGAAACACATCAGAGAGTTTGTACGTGAGCTTGTGTGACAAGACTGCATGGTCTTTGTTTGAGAAAACAGTGTAAACACACACACACACACACACACACACAAACACACACACACACGCACAAACACAAACAAACACACACACACACACACACACACACACACACACACACACACACACACACACACACCTCCCAAGAAACTCCCAAATATCTCACAGAAACTCATTTATAGTCACCAAATTGTAATCTCAAAACTCATGGAAACTCAATCATTTCAAAACATCCTGCAAAAAACTCCTTAAAGGTTATTAAAACTCACATCCAAAAACCTCTGGAAACTTGTTATAATCCCCCCCAAAACATTACTTTCTGAGAGTCTTGCATTTATTTTTTTGCATTCTATCTGATTATTATCATCTATCCATTTTTGTTGTTGTTTTGTTTGAGATTGAAGTCATATTTCTGATAAAACAACACAAATATTAACAGACAATATCAAAATAAAATGTACCCTTTATTTAACAAAGCTTCATTTACGGGCCGTCTCCACAGCAGCGTTAAAAAATCTTGAAACGCTTCTGCCCATTCACTTTGAATGGGGTGACGTCACTTTCCCTCACTTTTCGCCGAAATGCATTGTGGGCAGGCGAGCGGAGATTCTCAGGATTTTCAAGATTCAAAGTTGAACAATGTTCAACTTTTGAAGCTGAGGTGGAAGCGGCAGCCAATCAAATCCCGTGTACGCAAATCTGGCAGTTCAAGCTCTAGCCAATCAAACGGCGTGTATGCTGGGAGAGACATACCGTAGGTCATTTCCTCATATTACAAAAAAATGGAGGAGAAATTAGCGGTAGCGAATCAATCACCCGGTGCTTTATGACCAGACCTACCGGGATATAAACCGGAGGAGCCAGGCATGGAGGGAGGTGGCAGAGACAGTGGTAGGTTTTCGCCTGTTTTGGGGAGTTTATATCCAGTTTACTTCGGGCTTTTTGGCTTCGTATGTCGCGGGCGGGAGATTCATGTGATTGGTTGCTCGCAAAAAATCCTCAAGCTTCAGATACGCCCACCTCCAAGATTTTTTTAACGCTGCTGTGTAGACGTTCCGTTACGGCCCCTACACACGGCGGCGTGCGGTGACTCTTCAACGCTTCTGCCCATTCACTTTGAATGGGGTGACGTCATGATTCGCCGAACTGCATTCTGGGAGCAAAGCGTAGCTTTCCTCGCGGTGCTCGCTGCAAAAGTAGAACAATGTTCTACTTTTGAAGCTGAGGCGGAGGCGGCAGCCAATCAAATCCCGCGTATGCAAATCTGACAGTTGAAGCGCTAGCCAATCAAACCGCGTGTATGTTGGGAGAGCCAGACTGCAGTTCATTTCCTCATATGCCAAAAAATGGAGGAGAAAATAATCGTAGCTGTAGGGAATCACCCGGTGCTTTCAGTCCATGTTCACCTACCGGGATACAAACCGGAGGAGCCAGGCATGGAGGGAGGTGGCAGAGACAGTGGGTGAAACTGGTAGGTTTTCGCCTGTTTGGGGAGTTTATATCCAGTGTACTTCGTTTGAATGGACAGCAGGCATAGACAGTATATTTAGCCACCATGCAATGTTGCATAAAATAGCACCATAGACATTAATTAAAAATCGCTTTTTAGACATTAATGTCTATGGTGAGATTCATACACGGGAGCCTTTTTAAAGCCTTTTTACCCCGCTGCAAACAGAAACCCCCCCCCTTCCCATCACAAACTTTACACAGACCCCCCCTTCCAATTATCAACTCCTGTCTTGTTTCCGCAAACTCTTGTGTCCTGCAGCAGCTAAAAGTTTTGCAAGCCCCCGTTCGTTTAGTACCTAAAATAATAGACATCGCTTTTTCGAACCCGACTTTCTGGTCACTTCTTCAATTTTCCAGCCCTTGGGGAGAGACACGGGAGATTCATTGATTGGTTGTTGGTCGCGTTGCTCGCGTAAACTCCCCAAGCTCAAGACACGCCCACCACCAAGCGGCAACGCACGCCGCCGTGTGTAGGCTGCGTTAGTGTCAGGGAATAATTTCCCCTACATGTTTACCTTTCGCCCTCTGACGCAGCTGACCAGCCTTGACCAGCCGTTATCTCCCTTAAGGAGGGGCTGCCCTAGCAAGTTGTTTAGTGGGAATACTGATACAGCATTCCAACTATAAGTTATGCTAATAACATCCAATTATTTTGTCCGTCTTCCATATTCAACATCGCAGAAACTCCGTTCAAACATCAAAACGTTCAGCTCGGTCGGGAATCGATGGCTATTACTTTTATCATTCATAACTTTCATAATTCCAGAGATACATCCCATAATTCATCACATTTTTAACATTTTAACTTTAACATTGCGCAGCTCGTTCAGGCAGTGTGCGTGATGTCACAGCTAGAGGGTAGGAAATCTTGAAATTTGCCTTCATATTTTTTTTTAAAACTGCCATAATTACCAAACCCTACATTCCTGAGACATAAATTTTCATGACAAACGTAGGAAAACATCTCGTAGCTTGAAAAATTACAAATAATTAAGCAAAAGAATTAAACAAAATGCCTCTTGAGGGCATGAAGTGACAAAAACGTTCAACATGTCTCCATTAAAACCCATTGTAATTTCAGGCTGATATTTCCTCACAGCAGCAGCCGCACACCTTTAGTTAAACTGCCAAAAAGGCCACATTATTAACCCGAAAGTACACAAAAATTACACTTCAGATACTCAACTTCCTTGACATGCTTCACGTTTTGAAATTTCACAGATATCTGTTATCGTTCTTCCACCAAACGTTCACATGTAAGAGGTTTATCTCTCATTCAGAACAATGCAAACCTTTGATCTCTTCATAGCTCGTTAGCTCAACTATAAACACCTGTGTAATGGAACACGATGATGTCATCACTCCAACTGACAGCAGTCAGTTCTAACTGTTCATTTCATACTCACACACACACACACTCTCTCTCTCTCTCACAAACTCTCTCTCTCTCTGCCACACCGGTCCATGCCTCAACAGCTCTACGCCAAATCTGAAATCTCACCATATGCCGTTTCCATGGAAACGCATCCCTCGCCATAAAACACGATGTCCCTTTAACTCCTATGAAAATGTTCAAAAAGTGCTCAAAATTCACATGTGTGCTAACAGTCCAGCCGTGAAGACATCTACGAGACAGTTTTGAGATTTCTTCAAATGCCGTTGCCTTGGCAACACAATGCTCGCCATGAAACACGGTTTTCTCATAACTTCAGTGAAAATGCTTCAAACGGCCCAAAACTTCACAGGTTTGGTAACGATGGAGCCATCAACGTATCTAAGCGTATTATGGGGTGTCATCAAATGCTGTTGCTATGGCGACAGCCCACTCGCCATGAAACACGATGTCGCTGTAAGTCCAATGGACACGGTCCAATCATCCCCCAATCTTCACTTGTATATCACCGGTCCATGCCTCAACAGCTCTACGCCAAATTTGAATCTCACCATATGCCGTTTCCATGGAAACGCATCACTCGCCATAAAAGACGATGTCGCTATTACTCCTATGAAAATGTTCAAAAAGTGCTCAAACTTCACAGGTGTGCTAACAGTCCAGCCGTGAAGACATCTACGGGACATGCCGTTGCCATGGCAACACAATGCCCGCCATGAAACACGGTTTTCTCATAACTTCAGTGAAAATGCTCCAAATGGCCCGAAACTTCACAGGTTTAGTAACGATGCAGCCATCAACGCATCTAAGCTTATTATGGGATGTCATCAAATGCCGTTGGCATGGCGACAGATCATTCACCATCAAGTTAGTTCAAAGGTTTGCAGTTCAAATATTCTGCTGCTTTTCCAAGCCTTTTTACTCTCTTTTCTTCTCTCATCACACATTCAAGCCCCCAGTGTTCATGTATCATTTCAATCTAAATTCTTCACTTTCTTCTTACACATTATATTTCAGCATAGCAGTTTAGCGTCAGATTTTTAGCATAAAGCATTCCCACTAGCAATTTCTTTAGGAATTGCATTCTCTAGTTGTTGTTGTTGTTACCAGTTTATGACCGGGCCACTCTCGGTCAGAGATACTTATTGTTGTGGGACACCTGGAACACATCCTTCTCGGGATGTAGATGACCCCGAGCCATAAGCGACAACAAATGTGATTCAGTGTCCTCAGCTGTTTAGTCTATCTATTGAAGAATGTTGATTATTACACTCTGAACTAGTTAAAACCTCGAGCTACAGGAGGGGTCTTCAGAATTGATTGTGGCATCTCAACCGGGTGGTCAACTCGTGGCCCGTGACATGTCTTGTGAATTCTCAGGCCGAAGCTCCAAATAAACCGTCAGTGTTTGCCATCAAAGCTCCAGCTCTCCTCGTGTCTCTCTGAGTCCTGACTCCTATTGCTTCAGAAGTTTCCCCCACAGTTTGTATTAGTAAAGTAGTTCATTATGAATTTACTCCAGGTGTAACTAAAGTCTGATTTAAGAGTTTATTATATTTCACATCATTCATCCAGATCTGTGAAGTAACTAAAGGTATTACATACATGTAGTGGAGTAAAAGTACAGCATTTACCTCTGAACTGTAGTGGAGTAGAAGTACACAGTAGCATACAATGGAAATACTCAAGTAAAGTACAAGTACCTCAACATTGTACTTAAGTACCGTACTTGAGTACATGTACTGTACTTAGTTACTTTACACTTCTGGGTCTCTTCTCAGGGACATCCAATCTCTGTACGCACAAAGAGACGGACTCGTTTCCCTCTCCAATGATACATGAGTTTATAGTTTAACTCCTCCACTACAACTTCAATGCAGCGATGATGAGACACTCCCTGAGTTACATGAGGAGACAGAGCTCAGCAGAGGAGGCGTGACAGAGCTCCTCCCTCACTGTCTCACCTGAGACACACCAGGAAACAGTTTGTTATTCTCCCTCACTGCAGAGAGAGAGACGGACTGAAAAACAGACGATCACATTCACCTTCAGACCAAACTAACAACTTCCTCTGAGTTCAGCTACAGGAGAGAAAAGTGGAAACTACAACCCTGCTGCTTCAACCTGCGGACCCTCCCCCCCCTGAAGGTGAGTCTCCAAACAACACTCAAATGCCCCTTTCACACCGGCGCTTTTTCAGCTCCGGCTCGGAGCCGGAGCCTGAAAAGTACCGGTTTTTCCTGTTCACACCGCAGCGGCTCCGGCTCATAGCTCCGGAATGCGGTTCATATGGAGCTAATTTCCTGCCATAACTCCACAAACAAACTAAACAGGTTTTACAAATGCCTCATGATTCACTAACAAACACAATGTGGTTTGCAAATACAAAACACCATCTACTAATGCATTTAGTTTTGCAAAGAAAAAACGTATCTATCAAATAAACACATACCATTTTTCTAATAAATCATGTTTCAGAGACAAATTCAGCATAGGTTTTACAAGTACACACATTTTTTTTACAACTACAACACTTCTTTTACAAGTACAAAACTTGTTTTTACAACTACAACACTTTTTTTTACAAGTACAAAACATTTTCTTCTCACGGCGGAATATTACTAAAAGTCACGTGACTCACTCACGTGACTTTTGGCAGTAATATTCCGCCGTGGTTGTGCTCATACACACTCACAGGGTGTTTCTCAATCGCGAGTAAAGCTGCTGCAGAGCCACTATTTCAAGCATACTACGTCATCGAGTGCCGCCGAAGTACTGTTCCAATCTCCAGCATACTTGGAAATCTACCGAGCCCGGCGTACTCCGTTTGGAGAAATATCGAGGCTGCACATGAGTAGACTCCGCGGTCTTAAAATCCCCACAATGCTTTGCGCACGGACCAATTTCCCCAAATCTGTGGCGGAAGATGTAAGGTGGGGCCTCTCATATGAAGCACACCTGCACACTTGCTAGCATGTTCCACTCTTTGTTTTCCGAATGCCAGGAAGTATTCTTGCCTCGCTTCTGAAGCAAGATGCTCGGCAGACATGTGCTACCAAGCAAGCGTACTCGCGATTGAGAAACACCCACTCACACATGCTCACTCACACATGCTCCACGGCAGCAGGGGGCGCTACTGAGTCCATTGGGAAGGCGGGAGGTTGAGCAGAGCATGGAACAGCCCTTGCCAGCCTGATGACTGCGGTGTTTCTAGCGATCCAGCGATCTGGGTCAGTGTTATAGTGATAATATTATAAGGTGCATTTAGCGAGCACAACGAAAACAGCCAAGACACATATTGAGCCCAGAAAATGAATGTTCTTAGGGCTGTAAATATAATAAGCCTTTGTCTAAAATGGACAACATTGTATCTAAGAAGATTTAAACTATACAGCGATTCATTCTGCACTTGGTCAATCAGCTGCTCTTCATTTTCTTTCCTGCTATATTCAATGAGTGATACAAATATTTTTTACCGTACGTTCTGAATAAAACTGATACTGTTGGACTCGGTACTAGTTGACTGCTACCAGAAATAAAAGGAAGTACTTTACTGTGTACTTTGTGAGTAATCCTCTGTCAGAGTCCCCTCCATAGTAGCCTACATAATGCATGTTTTCTGCTATCTTTGATGAATGATAAAAATAAAATGTTACCATTAGTTCTTAATGAAATTGATACGGTTTGACTTTGTATTAGTAACCCTACTACTAACAATACATTGAAGTACTTTTACTGTGTATTTTTTGAGAAATACTCTGTCAAAGTCCCCTCCTGTGAACAAAATCAAGCCACTTCTGCTAAGTTTGATGAGGGAATTATTTTTTGTTGCCATTAGTTCTTCGTGAGATTGATCCTGTTGGACTCAGTACTACTGAAACCACCCCCACAAGTACTATGAAGTACTTATTGTGTACTTTTCCAGTAATCCTCTGTCAATGTCCCCTCCTGAGTACAATAATGCATGTTTTTCTTTTGATAAGCGTTAAAAAACATTTCTTCCTGAGAGGATGGTAGACATGATATCAGCAATACTTCCAGTCAGTACTCCGGCAGCAGCATTTTCACACCTTGGAAAGTCTTTAGAGTCTGGCCTGGAATGGATTGCTGGTCACAAATATCCTTCAGCAAAGTAACACACTCTGTCACATGGTTGCCCTCTTATGATGCTGCTGTCTTTTAATATATAATTATTCCTCAGTCACTAGTTAGTTCCTCGCAGATTCTTCAGTCTCATCAGCCTCATCCTTCCATCAGTCCCAGTCAACGCCTCCAGCACACTTCCAGTATCTGACTCCATATGATATTGTCCTGATGCTGTAAGGGTGATGCCCCATGATCACAAAATTACCCCTCTAAAGTCTGAGTGCCAAGGACCTCATATTATGTCTGTCATTAATGTTACATCACCCATTATAACAATTTTCTTTCCTTTTTTCTCTTCTCTTAACTGAATAGTCCTGTCTTTAAGTATAACCCAATGTAAAGTCCTTTTCCTGCACCATTTTAAGGCTTCATAACAGGCATGTTTACTGTATGTGTTTGGAGAAATAACACAATCAATGGCCCAGAATTGTACTTTATAAACTATGAATCTTGTGGTGCTTGAAGAAATACAGACGGGTTAAGCCGGCCAGGTTATATATATATATATATATATATATGTATATATATATATATATATGCCTTTTTTGGAGCCATTTTTTTCAATATTTATTAAAATGTCACTAGTTATTTAAACAAACCACTATCTGAGGATAATACAAGCAACCATAAAACGCCTTTTATCTCGAGAGCCATTGAAGCCCATGAAGAATTTATCCTTCCACAAATCTTTTCAACTGCTGTATTAATAAAGTTGCCACGTGTTTTCAAATTCAAGTTAAGGAACTATCTTTGTAAAACATTACAAATATTCTTCATTTGCAGTATTTTAAAAATGTTCAGAAAGACTGCATCAATTATATGCTATATATATTATATATAAATATATATATATATATATATATATATATAATATCAATATTGTTATTAACTTAACAAAAATTGGATAATTGCCATGGATGTGGTGTTTGATATAGTTGACGTTCAATTTTAACTATTTTAGGCAGAAAAACGTATATTGACGAAACCTTTTTTAATAATTTACTATAATTTAGAAAGGTTTTTGTGAGAAATCATTTCAAAAGTAAACTTATTTTTCATTTTATATTTCAATTTGAAATGTTTGCACACAACATTATTAATTTATACATTTTTATAAACATTTTAAATTATGAATCCATTCATTTTATTGTATTTCCTTGAGGCTGGGGAAGATATCCAGCATGTGGTTCAACATGTAATACAAGTATATGTACAACATGGAAAAGTTTAATAGGAGGATGTGGATTTATTTTCTCTCACCTTGTAATTACACAATCAAACAATCTATAATTTAGCTCTGACCTTCACAAAACATTTTGTTGAATTGGACACATTTTTCCAAGCTCTATTGACAGACATGCAATGACTGGGACTGATGGAAGAATCTGAGAGGAATGAACTAGGAGCAGAGAAATAATCATATTTAAAAGACAGCAGTCCCATAAGAGGCCAACAAGAGTCACAAGGGTGCGTCACTTTGCTGAGGGATATTTGTGACCAGCTATCCAGGCCAGACTCTAAAGACTTTCCAAGGGGTAAAAATGCTGCTGCTGGAGTACTGACTGGAAGTATTGCTGATATCATGTCAACCATCCTCTTAAAGTACTCTGTCCAACAATATCAGTCTCATAAGAAAAGTGTTTTAACGCTTATTCAAAATAGCAGAGAAACATGCATTATTGTACTCAGGAGGGGACATTGACAGAGGATTACTCAAAAAGTACACAGTAAAAGTACTTAATAGTACTTGTGGTACTAGTACTGAGTCCAACAGTGTCAATCTCACGAAGAACTAATGGCAAAAAATATTTTTTTCCCTCATCAAACTTAGCAGAAGTGGCTTGATTTTGTTCTCAGGAGGGGACTTTGACAGAGTATTTCTCAAAAAATACACAGTAAAGTACTTCCTTTTATTTCTGGTAGCAGTCAACTAGTACTGAGTCCAACAGTATCTGTTTTATTCAGAACGTATGGTCTTCTTCTTCGAGTCTGTATCAATCTCAGATGTCGTTCTGCCAGTACAGGCCACAGCTGATGGGGTAGGTTCTGCCAGGTCTTCTGGACTGCACCGTGGGGCATCGGCACATTCCAGTAGGTGGGACATTGTCTGCACTGATCCACAGCTGCACGTGTCTTCTGTGGTGTAGTTCCACACTTTCATCAGTGCTTTGCACCTCCCCTGTTCCACACGCAGTCTATTAAGTGACTTCCAGGTTGTCCAACCAAGGTCGTGGCCACTAGCAAGGCTTTCCGTTGGTGTGATTCCTCTGTCCAGCCATTCAAGAGCTCATGTGTCATGTCTTTGCCATTCATCTTCCCAGATGTTGGTCCTTGCTGCTTGTTTGGTTGTCTGGAGGGGAAGGACTGTCTGCACAAAACTGGCTCTGGATCGGAGCCTGCGTGGGGGTGCGTGGCCATACAAGGGGTGTCTGATGTCTGTCTCCTGTGTTCTCCGTTCATCTTGAGTGATACCCAGTCGTCTGATGTGTGGGGGAGAGATGCCGGCTAGCGCATAGAGGCACGGGACAGGTGTTGTCTTAACGCATCCCGTGATGATGCGGCAGGTGTCATTCAAGGCTGTGTCGACCAGTTTGGTGTGACGTGATCGGCTCCAGCTTGAGCAGGCATACTCTGCTGTAGAGAAACACAGGGCCATGGCAGTTGCACGGATTGTTGGTGGATCTGCGCCCCACTTGGAGTTCACTAGTTTGCGCAGAATGTTGTTGCGGGTGTTGATCTTGGCTTTGGTGTTCTCCAGGTGTTTCTTGAAGGAGAGAGAGAATGTATGGTAAAAAATATTTGTATCACTCATTGAATATAGCAGGAAAGAAAATGAAGAGCAGCTGATTGACCGAGTGCAGAATCACTGTATAGTTTAAATCTCCTTAGTTACAATGTTCTCCATTTTAGACAAAGGCTTATTATATTTACAGCCTTAATAACATTCATTTTCTGGGCTCAATATGTGTCTTGGCTGTTTTCATTTTGATCGCTAAATTCAGATCGCTGGATCGCTAGAAACACCGCTGTCATCAGGCTGGGAAGGGCTGTTCCATGCTCTGCTCAACCTCCCGCCTTCCCAATGGACTCAGTAGTGCCCCCTGCTGCCGTGGAGCATGTGTGAGTGAGCATGTGTGAGTGTGTATGAGCACAACCACGGCGGAATATTACTGCCAAAAGTCACGTGAGTGAGTCACGTGACTTTTGGCAGTAATATATTCCGCCATGAGAAGAACAAGTTTTGTACTTGTAAAAAAAAGTGTTGTAGTTGTAAAAAAAATGTGTGTACTAAAACCTAAGCTGAATTTGTCTCTGAAACATGATTTATTAGAAAAATGGTATGTGTTTATTTGATAGATACGTTTTTTCTTTGCAAAACTAAATGCATTAGTTTGTAGATGGTGTTTTGTATTTGCAAACCACATTGTGTTTGTTAGTGAATCATGAGGCATTTGTAAAACCTGTTTAGTTTGTTTGTGGAGTTATGGCAGGAAATTAGCATAGGTCACTTCCAGCTCCAAAAAATTGTCGGTCTAGAGGCAAGAGCTTCGGAGCTAGAGGCGGCGTCGCTTACGTCTCTCTTACGTCGAGGCGTGCAGGAAACTAAACCCACCTCCCCTGAACATGGGTCGACTGAAGAGTCTCGTCATGCCTGCCTACAAGCAGTAGCGCTGAGCAAAGTGACTAGAAGGCAACCACACACTTATAAAAAAAACACACACTTTATAAAGTCAGGCAACACTAACCAGGCTTCGTGTGATTCTGTTTATTTGTACCTTACTTTGACCATCCGTTCGCTGTTATTGATCATTGTGGAGAGCAGGCAGACGTTTTGTTTGTTATTATAGCAGCTATCGGATGGAATCAATACATGGGCTGCACAGGTTGTCATGTCCGACTATCACAAGTAGAATCATAATGAAAAATACGCCGGTAAAAAGTGCCTGTAGAAAACGGCTTAGCAAGTAGTCAGTTTAGCTTCGGTTGCTATGCTAACATCACCCATGTTATACCAGAGAAACTTTCATAACAGCGTTGTGATGCCAAACAGCGTCAATTCAGACTGACACAGATTCACTTAAGGGGAACTGGGGATATGTATCAGCTGCTTGTGTGACAGTCAGACAGTGAATACTTTAGAGCCGTGTGAGCTAACCCGGAGCTAACGGGAGAATAAACTCCCGTGGAAGAGCAGCCAGCACTGCAGCGGTCGCTAAATGCCGCTGAAACACATTAATAAACAATGAACCACGACACTCTGGAGAAAAGTATAAGGTTGGAGAAGTCGTTATTTAATTTAATCTGGCTTCGTATGATTAAAAGCAACACGATCATCGACCCGACGCAGTCCCCCCCCCCGTTGTTGTTGTTGTGAGCTCCGTTGGGGAGAAAATCAGCGATGTAAACGGTGACGTCATGACGCAGCAGCGGCAGCTGGGCGGTGTGAACAGAGCGGGAGCTGAAAAGGGAAACCGGAGCTGAACCAGAAAAGCTCTAGCTAGGAGCTAGAAAGGGAAAGCGCTGGTGTGAAAGCCGCAAAAGTGAATTTCAGTGAAGTCCGTAGAGGAGGGGGAGGGGAGCCATGACTGACTGTACTTCCTGTCTGCTGTGTTTCAGCTTCACTCAGAGACAACATGGCGTCCAGGTTAGAGCAAGATCTCTGCTGTCCGGTCTGTAAGGAAGTCTTTAGAGATCCTGTTGTTCTGTCCTGTAGCCACAGCTTCTGTAAAGCCTGTCTGCAGACCTGGTGGAGAGAGAGACCATCACGAGAGTGTCCAGTCTGTAAGACAGAATCTTCAAGAAGAAAACCTCCCTGTAACCTGGTGTTGAAGAACACGTGTGAGACCTTCTTACTGGAGAGAGATCAGGGATCTCCTGAGGCTCTCTGCAGTCTGCACTCTAAGAACCTCAGACTCTTCTGTCTGGACCATCAGCAGCCAGTGTGTCTCGTCTGCAGAGATTCAAAAACACACACCAATCACAGAATCAGACCCATCGATGAAGCTGCTCAGGGTCTCAGAGAGGAGCTCCAGAAAGCTCTGCAGCCCTTTCAGGAGAAACTGAAGCTCTTTGAAAAAGTGAAAGTGAAGTTTGATCAAACAGCAGGACACATGAAGGTCCAGGCTCAACACACAGAGACGCAGATTAAGAAGCAGTTTAAGAAGCTTCACCAGTTTCTAGAAGAGGAAGAGGAGGCCAGGATGGCTGCACTGAGGGAGGAAGAGGAGCAGAAGAGGATGACGATGGAGGAGAAGATGGAGGCTGTGAGCAGAGAGATAGCAGCTCTTTCACACACAGTCAGAGACACAGAGGAGGAGCTGAGAGCTGAAGACGTCTCCTTCCTGCACAACTACAAGGCTGCAGTGGAGAGGCTGCAGCGCCCCCTGCTGGAGGATCCACAGCTGCCCTCAGGAGCTCTGATAGACCAGGCCAAACACCTGGGCAACCTCAGCTTCAACATCTGGAGCAAGATGAAGGACATGGTGTCATATTATCCTCTCATCCTGGACCCAAACACTGCTCATCCAGAACTCATCCTGTCTGAAGATCTGACCAGTGTGAGAGCAGGAAGGAGACAGGAACTTCCTGATAATCCAGAGAGGTTTGATAAATACGGCTTTGTCCTGGGCTCTGAAGGCTTTAACTCAGGGACTCACAGCTGGGATGTCCAGGTTACAGACGGTACACTCTGGTTTCTGGGTGTGTTAGCAGAGTCTGTCCAGAGGAAGGGAAGCATGAAGTCTGGATCATGGATGATAGGTTTCTATAAAGGTAAATACTCAGCACGGTCACCATCAGCTCCATCCACTCCTCTCAGCCTGAAGAAGGAGCTCCAGAGGGTCAGAGTGGATCTGGACTGGAACAGAGGAGAGCTGTCGTTCTCTGATCCTGACACTAACACACACATACACACCTTCACACACACTTTCACTGAGAGGGTGTTTCCATTCATTCTCACTGTGGAGGAAGTGAAGATATTACCGCTGAAGGTGTGTGTGACAGTGGATCAGAGCAGGTAGAGATGAACAGGATCATTCACTGACCTCTGCAGCACCTCCTGTCCGCCTGCTCATTCCACACACACACACACACACACACACACACACACACACACACACACACACACACACACACACACACACACACACACACACACACACACACACACACACAGATGATTATCCGGTCAGATGAACAGATAGACAGTTTGTCAGGCAGATTGATCAGTCACTTATAAGTCATTTAAACACTTAATGAGTTAATCAGTACAACATGACTGACACACGGTGCCACTCGCACTCTGAGTGTGTGCGTGTGTGTGTGTGTGTGTGTGTGTGTGTGTGTATTGTTTTCTCTGCCTGTTTATAGCCTGAGGGAAGATAATGTGTCTGTTTGTAGGTATCTTGAATTCTATTAAAACCAGCAGACTTATATTTTTCGTTCTCATTTATGACTGTTTACCTCAAAAATATCCTCCAATGGTTGTGGTGATGGAAAAGTTGACAAAAAAACTATTTTATTGAATGTGTTATACCCTTATGACCCTGACAACACATTTCCACCAATTTATTGCAATTGTGCATGTCCCTGATTGGCCATTAGGTCCATTCAATCAAAGAAAATAGTAAATTATGTGCCATTTTTACCTTTTAAAATACCAATTGTAACACCATTCATTGCCTGAAGCCCATCGGTCCCTATGTATTAATGATTAATACTCAAAAGCAACAACAAAACACACATTAAGGATTCATTTATTCCCCTTTAACCTCTCAACTATACCCTTAAAACACAGCCCTTAAAACACAGCCCTCACATCCAGCGTTTACTCAATGCTGCACACTTTAAGTTGTTGTAATGCACCGAGGCCTACTGTAACATTCAGGGACTTATGAAACAAAAGGTTCGGCCCCTGAATGGCCCAGTGTCAAGGATTACTTCTCAGACAAATTCTCCAGCAACAAAGCCTCCATTGTGCCCCGTCCGGACCCTCGAATTAGCAGCAGGGGCGACTGCACGCTCAACTGCACTCTCTGAAGATTTACCCCAAATGCTGCCCTTTTTAAATGTCCACAAGAATAAAATGAGAAAGATTAAATATATATAAACATGGATCTAAAAAATGAATCCAATTGATATCTCTCTAGGGGGTCTAAATAGATTAAAATAGATGGAAATTAAAGTGTGCATAATCTATTTAACACTGGGTTTAATCTAAAACATGGATTATGTGACATCTGTCAAAAAAAGGGGCAATTGTGTCACTCTTTTTTAGCTTGTGAAATGCATTTTTTAACGCCCTTGTTTGATTGTTAGAACCAAGTTATTTTTATTTCCTTTTTTACTTTGAAGGGGTTTTTGACTTTCTCTAATGGCCTTCACTTTAAACCCAGGGGACTCAGTTTAATCTGCCTCTGTTAAAGAAGGAAATATGGAATGCAGAGGAGGACTTCCGGATGTGACTTTCAAAATAAAATCCCTTTTGACAAACAGTGCCCAGAAGTCTCAAATGGACTGCAACTCAATGGGAATGTGATATCCTATTGTCAAATAAAGTATGTTAACTAAACTACAGTAGATTTCATTCTTTGACTCTGATATGTTTTGCTAAGCGGAAAGGTTGTACATTTTTGAAAATCTAGATATGTTTTTTATCACATATTTACTGCTAAAATAATTTAAATTTGAAGAAAAAAGTATACTATCATAAAGCAATATCTTCATAAAGACATGTTGAGAGACTTTAAAAATCCTTTACAGCGAGGAAGTGTGATTTAATACACATTTTAGCATCCTTTTCATTCAAATCGGACTTATTTTGGACAATTGTACAGATGTGTTTGCAGTAGCTGTAGCTTGAAACGTACCATTGGTTGGTCTGAATGAAAATTAAATGTAACCCAAACCTTAATTTATAAATGTATTATTTTTCCAGGCTTCCCTTTACTCTTGTCTCTGCACCATTCATGAAATCGAGTCATAACATTTAAGGGTGAATGCAAACATTGCACTTAAAAAAGTGCATTCACATGACTTTAAAACGTAGCTTTTATATGTAGTAATGCACACTAGCACACATACAAGTGCACAAACACACTGCTACACATCCTACAATTAACTGTCCTGTCTTTTAAAACATATTGTGACTTTTGTCATATATCTTGTTATGACAGTCTGCCATTGCTATTATGCAGCCATTTCGGCTTTTATCTTGAAAGGACACGAACCACGCTCTTGGTGTAAACGCTTCTAACTCGTTCTAGCTTGACTTCATTTTACAAACCCACATTCATTGGGGGTTCAGTATTGGGAGGAGGAGGAAGAAAAAGCCTCATCCTGATTCTCCACACTTTAGTTGCGTATCGCGCTGCAGATCCGGCTGGATGTGTGTGTCGCACTGGATCCAGAAAACACACACTCCTGCAGCCATTAAAAAAAAAAAAACTGTGTGTGTGCGTGCGTGTGTGACAGTGTGTGTGTTGGTTTAGTCATGAATTATACACCTGAGCCATGTAGTTAGCCGGGTTCCTGGGCGTGGGAAGGAAGCAGGACTTGTTTGTCGTGGGAATATTGTTGGACTTTACGCAGCGTAAAAACACACGTTTATTTTTCATTGCTTCGGTTTCCTCACATCAGGATGTAGATTTGGGAACTTTTCTTTGAAGGACCCGCTGACACAGAGGACGAGTTTTTATTTTGTAACTTTTCAAACCTTTTTTTGCTGGGAGGAATACAGGCAGAGGTTACACGGCTGCACGCGGAGGGAAATCACATCCAAAAGGTAAGCAGCACTTTGGATATTAAGCTGTTTAAACTGTTTTCGTAACAACAGGAAATACTTAGAGGGGATTTTAAAGATTTGTAAGGCACTCGTGATTTCTGATCAACCTCACGTCACACCAAACTCCATTCACAAAACCTGAAATGTCATAATGTATTGCTCCCTGGTAAATGGAAATTGCACCATGTGACACAACTTGCAATTTTCTACAAAAACAGTACAGTATTTGTCATTCGGCGTAAAAATATATCCACCAAACAGTGCCTTATTACCAATAGTGTAAAGTATCACAGTACATTTTCTCAAGTACTGTATTTAAGTACAATTTTGAGGTACTTGTACTTTGAGTATTTCCAGTTTATGCTCCTTTTATACTTCTACTTCACTGTCATTTATTTGACAGCTTTAGTTACTAGTGACTTTTAAGTAGCTAATACTAACAATAAAATACTTTTAAAATAAACGTTGACATACATGTATGGGTTAAGAGTATTTATTACTACTACTTTTACTTAAGTGAACATTTAAGAGTCCCTTTTCCATCACTGGTAATCATTAGTAAGACAAGTTTTGACATGCGTTAAAGTACCGAACTGCAACGTAAAGGAAGACAATTGCTTAAAAACTTAGAGAAACATAACTTTTAAAAATGTCTTTTGAGTTTTGTAGGCAAGCCGAATTGATGCCAGGGCTGTGATAACTCCTTGCATGACTTTGAATTAGTTTTGCAGATTCAAATGTTTAATTATTGGCAATATCATGTTTAATTACCAGATTTTTAAACGATATCTGGCATTAGGCAGACAGCAGGAATGTGTTGGGACATTAATCAATGCACAGAACATCTGGAGCCTCAGTGAGTGGGCTGATCCTGTTGAGCTGCTTCAATAATGACTTCCAGAGGTGGAAGAAGATCCTTCACTTCAGAAATAGTGGAAATACCCTGAACTCAAAATGGTAGAAGTATAGTATCGCCAGCTAAATGTACTTAAAGTACCCATGATGCACCATGACTGCTTTGAAAGTATTATATTACATTAAATACATGTAAGGACATTTACATTTTAATAATACATAATACATTTCATCTATATAGCACACTTTAAAAAACAACGTCATCTCAAGGTGCCATTATGCTATAATTTGTTACTATTAAGACAACTTTAGCCATTTTTTTTTGTAAGATATTGGTCGTAACGTACTACATTAAATCATATACAAAGGTCATGTGTTTTATATGTAAACAGTAGCTGGTGTTAATAAATGTAGTGGAATAAAAAAGCACAATACATGTTCCTAAACTATACTTTTAGTATAAAGTAGCATTGAATTTAAATACTCAAAGTAAAGTACAAGTATGACAGAACAGTACTTTATTTAGTAAATGTACTTCCCACCTCGGCAGACTTCTTCCTCCATTGTTAACTTCACACGCTGACATTTACAACACCTGTGCAGAGACCATTATCTTCCATTGATTCTCCTCATTGAATCCATACCAATCCCAGGGAGGATAATTGGAAGTTTCGAGATGGGTTTGAGAAGCTGTTTAGAGATGGACGTTCCTATATAACTGCAAACAGATGTTTTTTGAAGGCAGTATTGATCAGAAGTGCTTAAACCATTTCAACATCAGCCGGGGTAATGATTGTACTCCGTCAAATCTCCGGCTCCAAAGGTCATTAAAACACATTAACCTGCATCTGTGTGTGTGTGTGTATGTGGATGAAAAATAGTGTTGTTGGCCATCTGCTTCCTAGCATTGCAGTACATGATGTGGAGGTAATTGCCCATGGTGTCGGCTAATGGATTAGAGGAGCATCCACATTACACCTTGAGCTCCGAAGCCATAAAACCATTAAAGTCGCAGGGACTCGCTCTGTTTCCACTCTGTTTTCTGATGTTTTGGCTAAAATGAGGCTGCGATCAATGGAGCGTGAAGCTTCAAGGCTGCTTGAATAGGTCGTTGTCATGTTCAATTTACTCCAGTTACCAGTGGGAAGTTTTGGTGTGCATTTCTTTGCCTTTTAAAAAGTTTGAAATGGTTGTTTTTTTTCTGGTTTATTCTATGCAAGAATGACCTGAGTAGAGCTGCAGTCGTCCAATTGACTGATGGGAATGTAATTTCAAACTATTTTGATATCAAATTAATCGTTAAAGTAGTTTTTCATGCAGAAATGCCTAAAATAAGGAACATTGCTGCTTTTCTCAGTTTTATTTCACATTAAATGGTATATGTTTTATTTTGGACTGACTATACAAGACACTTCTCACTCTTTTCGGACATCTTCTAGAGCAAGTTCTAGATCAAGCTATTCATCTGTCCATGTTTTGATATCAAATTGAGCAATTGAGTAGTTTTTTCTGGCACAAATGTCTCTCAAATATTGAAAATTGCTGCTATTCTCTGTTTTATTTCACATTAAACGGTATATAGGTGGGTTTTGGACTGACAAAACAAGACAGTTCTTACTGTTTTTTGGACATTTTCTAGACCAAGAGATTAATCTGTTGGAAGACTTCCATATTTTCATATCCAATCGATCATTAAAGTAGCTTTTCATGCACAAATGACACTAAAATATGTAGATTTGCTGCTTTTCTCTGTTTAATATCACATTAAACAGTATATTTTATGGTTTATTATCACTGACAAAACAAGACGGTTCTCACTATTTTCTTGCATTTTCTAGACCAAGAACTATCAAAACGATTAATCTGTTGGAAGACATCTATATTTTGATATCCAATTCATCATAAAAGTCGATTTTCATGCACAAATGTCTCTCAAATATGGAGATTTGCTGTTTTTTTCTGTTTTAATATCACATTTAATTGAATATCGACTGACGAAACAAGACAGTTCTCACTTTTTCCGGACATTTTCTAGACCAGCTCCTCGACAAAGCGCTTAAACTGTTGGAAGACGTCCGTTTTTTTATATCACTTGATCATTAAAGTAGCTTTTCATGCAGAAATGTCTCTACAATATGGAGATTTGCTGCTTTTCTCTGTTTTATATCACATTAAACTGCATTTTTTTTGCTTTTTAGAGTTGCAAAACAAGACGGTTCTCACTGTTTCTGGACATCTTCTAGATCAACTCCTCGACAAAGCGCTTAGTTTTAGTGTTGGAAGACGTCCATGAAAATGTCTGAAAACATAAGAGAAAACACTTTTCAAACACAAAGCTTTGCAGCAGGCTCAGGCTTCCAGTGTCAGTATGAGTGATGAGAATTTATCCCAACACTCTTGTTGGCTTGTTCAATTAATGTTTTCACGAAAATAGCATTTTCTAAATCGATAAGTGTGTTTCCTTTTGAATAAGCTCTTCGGTGAATTCCTTTTTGAATGTTTTTTTGCCATAAGGCAGGCTATTTGCAGGGAAAGCTCCAACACATATCTCCTCTCACGGCAGAAAAACAAATCACTATCTGTGTTTTTGAGTTAGTTAACTTTCCAGCCTCTGGGACAAACTGTTCTGTGTTTTACATTATGTTCTGACTTGGAAATGATGCACTCTTTGGGAGTTTACACAAATATGTCTTGGAGTTAAAACGAGTCTGCTAATGGGAAGATCAAACAAGACGGCCGACTTGAAACTCAATTATTCAAAAAGAAGGAACCACAAGGAAGGAAAATCAAAGAGTATTCATGTATTCGCACGATGTTCACGATTTATCAAGGTCAGCAGGTTAATAAGGTATTTTTGGATAGCTTGCTACGCCTCGACATGTTTTGCATTCGGTATCAAAGCTCGGGGCT